AGAGAGTATGGCCCTGCTGATGCCTTCGTTTGGGGCACTTAGCTTCCAAAACTGTCAGACAATATGTGTCTATTGTTCTAAGCCACCAAGTGGCAGGGAGGACCACACTGAGCATCTGCCTAAGTGGCTTGCTGGAAGCTGGAAATAAAGAGGGTGACATGTTCTTGCCTGGAGCTATGATGTATCAGTTATGGTGATTCTAGTTCCTCGGGGCTGACTGAATAGGTGCCGACGACACTGAAACCTACTACTATCTCGCCATATGACAGTTTTTTAAAAAAACAGGATATACTCAAAGGTCACTCCACCCCCACCCCCACCCCACCCATGCCTTCTTCCAAAGGAGCTCCCCCATTGGTCCTGGGCCAGTAGGAGTCACGGATTACGGATTTTAGGGTGGAGTGGGTCAGGGTGTGACAGCGTGTGGCCGAGGGGATGCGGCTACCAAGAATGCCATTACAAATACATGGCCTGCGTGGCCCAGTGTAGCGGGCGACACGAGCGGAAGCCTGATGGGCAGTTCTGGAAAGCTCTGTCTTCCCACATGCCATTCCATTCCGCTTCTTCCTTCCTTGAACAGACACAGGGAGGTGGGGATGGAGAAGGTGTCTTGAACTAACAGTGAGGCCACAATCCAGGGGGAAGCCAGCGGAGAGCGGGGGAGCCGGGACCACGCTTGGCCTCGAGTGGGCTCTTGGCCGTGTGAGGGAAGGAGGGCTTGACCGGGCTACACCACCGTCATCGCATTTCCCCTGTGGCCCCACGTGTTAGACTGGGCGCCACAGGCCCACGGAGAGCTGTGACAGTGTCTAACTGCAGGGACGATGGGGAATAACTATCAACCAGAACTGATTTTCCTCCAGATCTTCATTGCCTAACCAGGGAGGCCCAAAGGAACCATGAAATTGAAACCTCCCTTGTCCAGGTTTACAGAGACTTGTCCAGGTTTATGGCCACTCTCACTGTCCCCAGGGGCTTTTCCTCTGTCCCGCAGAGAGCTCATGGTCAGAGGCTGGGTCTGCGCACTTACGTACGTGTCTGTTTCCCAGCAAACTGCGAATTTCCTAAGGAGATGACATTGCATTTGCCTTTGAATCCTTTGCAAATAAACAAATCAGTGGATAAGTCGATGAGGTGTAAATGGATGTCCTGTGAAAGCTTTGAAGGAAACGAAAATAACGAGAGTATCTTGGAACTGGACAAGCAGGAGAGAAGCTAAATTAGAAATATATACCAACTATTACCTTTTAAAACAATCAGATCTATTTTACATAACTAGGATTAAAGACTTAGGCCTTGGTTTTTGATCAAGCTCACAGCAGAGTAAATGGTTAGCTGTTCTTTCCTTGGTTAGTAACTGTGATGCACTTCTTGTTTGGGAAGGATTTCTCAAACGCAACATAGCTGACATTTGGCCCAAATAACTCTGTCACAGGAGTTTGTATCGTGCACTGTAGAAGGTTCAGCAGCCTCCCTGGCCTCTGCCCACCACTTAACCAGCAGCACACGCACCTTGTGTCAGTCGGAAATGTGTCCAGACATTGCCAAATGTCCTGAGAGGCAAAACTGCTATTGGTTGAGAGCCATTGCTTAGAGTGACGGAGTAGT